ATCTCACAGCTTATTTGTTCGAGCCCCACATCGGGCTCTGTGCTGACAGCTCAAAGCCTAGAGCCTACTTCAGATTCTATGTCTCCCTCTCTCTCTCTGCCCCTACCCCACTCATGCTCTGTCTCTCTCAAAAATAAATACAAATAAATAAATACATACATACATACATAAATGTCCATACTACCCAAATGCAATCCTATCGAAATCCTAATGGCATTTTTCACAGAACTGTAACAAATAATTCAAAATAAGTCAAAAAAAAAAGCTCAAAGGATCTTGAGAAAGAAGAACAAAGCTGAAGGTATCATGCTCCCTGGTTTCAACCTATACTACAAAAGTATAGTAATTGAAACGCTACAGTATTAGTGTAAAAACGGACAAACAGATCAGCAGAACAGAATAGAGTCCATAAATAAACCTACACATATCTGGTCAGTTAATTTTGACAAAGGAAACAAGAATATACAGTTGGGAAAGGAGAGCCTCTTCAACAGATGGTACTGGGAAAAATGGACAGTCATGCAAAAGAATGAAAATGGACCACTATCTTATACATGCACAAAAAATATCTCAAAAGTCAAGATGAATTAAAGACTTGAACTTAAGACCTGAAACTATAAAACTCCTAGAAGAAAACATAGGTGGTAAGCTCCCTGACACATGTCTTAGCAATATTTTTTTTTGATCTGGCACCAAAGGCAAGGGAAACAAAAGCAAAAATAAACAAATGGAAGGTCACCTGCGTGGCTCAGTCAGTTAAGTGTCTGACTTCAGCTCAGGTCATGATCCCACCCTTGGTGAGTTGAGCCCCTTAGGGAGCCCCACACTGAGCTCTGAGTCCGGCTCTGGGCTGACGCCTCGGAACCTGGAGCCTGCTTCGGATTCTGTGTCTCCCTCTCTCTCTCTGCCCCTCCCCTGCTCGCGCTCTGTCCTGCTCTCTCAAAAATAAACATTAAAAAAAAAAAAAAGAAGAGATTGAAAAGAGTAAGGGGGGGCACCTGGGTGGCTCAGTCATGTCAGTCAATGTCTGACTTCAGCTCAGCTCATGATCTCACAGTTCGTGGGTTCGAGCCCCACATCCAGCTCTGTGCTGACAGCTTAGAGCCTGGAGCCTGTTTCGGATTCTGTGTCTCCCTCTCTCTGCTCCTCCCCTGCTCATGCTCTGTCTCTCTCTCTCCTTCAAAAATAAATAAAAACATTTAAAAAAAATTTTTTTAAATAAACAAATAGGACCACATAAAACTAAAAAGCATAAAACTGCATAGCAAAGGAAACCATCAAGAAAATGAAAAGGTGAATGCGAGAAGATCTTTGCAAATGACATATCCAATAAGGGGTTAATATCCAAAACATATAAGGAACTACAACTCAATAACAAAAAACAACCCAGAGGATCTAAATATATTTTTTCCCAAAGAAAACATACAAATGGCCAACAGACATGTGAGAAGAAGTTCAATATCACAATCAGGGAAATGCAAATTAAAACCACAAAGAGGTAACACCTCAAACCTGTCAGAATGGCTAAACTCAAAAACTCAGGAAACATCAAGTGTTGGCGAGGGTGTGAAGGGAACCTGTGTGCACTGCTAATGAGACTGTAAACTGGTACAGCCATTATGGAAAACTGTATCGAGACTACTCAAAACATTAAAAATAGAAATACCATACAATCCAGCAGTTTCATTTTTGGTTATTTACCAGAGAATACAAAAACACTAATTTGAAAGGATATATGCACCCCTACGTTCATTGAAGCACTACTTACAACAGCCAAGATATGAAAACAACCTAAGTGTTCACCTATGAATGAATGGATAGACATGGTGTATAAACACACACACACACACACACACACACACACACACAGACGATGGAATACTACTCAGGTTTAAAAAGGATTATCTTATGGGTCGTCTGGATGGCTCAGTCAGTTAAGCATCCAACTTTGGCTCAGGTCATGATCTTTGGCTCAGGTGCTGACAGCTCAGAGCCTGGAGCCTGCCTCAGATTCTGTGTCTCCCTCTCCCTCTGCCTCTCCCCCGCTTGCACTCTGTTTCCCTCTCAAAAATAAATAAACATTTAAAAAAAAAAAGGAATATCTTGTCATTTGTGACAACATGGATGGATCTTGAAGGTATTATAGTAAGTGAAAGAAGTCAGACAAAGACAAATACGCACTGTTATGTAGAATCTGAAAAACAAACTAAACTCAACTGATCCAAACTCATAGATACAGAGAATGGACTGGTGGTTACCAGAGGGGAAGGGGTTCCAATGGGAAAAATTGGGGAAGGGGTTCAATTGTATGGTGATGAATGATAACTAGATTCGTGGTGGTGATCACTCTGTAGTGTATACAAATATCAAATTATAATGTTGTACACCTGAATTCCATATAAGGTTATATACCAATTTTACTTCAATTAAAAAAAAAAAAAAAAACAGGAAAAAAAAAAACCAACATCTTAGCATCCTAGAAAGCCCTTCAGGCTTTTTTTCAGTTAAAAAAAAAAAAATGCAATCTCTGTTATAAAAGCTCAAACATCTGTCTACTAGGACCAGGCATGATAGATATACAGCTGGCGATGATACAATTTCCAGCCAAAGGGGAAGCAGAACTTTTCCTGAAGCAGATGGGCCCCTGCGCTCAGTCCTAAAGAACTGTGCTCAGTGAAGAGGCACAGGAGGCACCAGGGACATGACGATGTTGGCCTTCTCCCCCAGATTGGTTCCTATTTGAACAAGCTCAGGGCCTAACATGTGGGTAAACACAATGCAGTATGTATATGGACACAGAATTCACATTTCAGTTATTTAGAAACACCGTATTACGTAGAGATAAGTTCCTCTGCAGGCTTCTAGGGCTAACATACAAAAGCTGGAGAACACCAGTCAAATATGTTCAGGACTCCCACTTTTACTCCATTTTTAAAGCTGCCATTACCATATTTCCCTTCTGTATGTTCCCACAGCCCTAGATACAAGAGGCTTTTTTTTTTCTTTCTTTCTTAATTCTTCAAAAGCACAGTCCTGTTGGGTCAAGCCCACCATTCTGAAGGGACCCGTCCCGGATGCTTGCAGGAAACAGCCGTGAGGACAAGTGGGCTTTAGGGAAAAAGAAAAAAAAATGAATGGAAAAGAATTAAATAAATGGAAAGTCTAGCAGCGACTTTCAACGAGTCTGGTACTTACTAGGAAAAGATGGAAAAACAATGGTCCAACATGTCCCTGAAATTGAAATACGGATACTTTTGTCTGTCGAAATCCAAGAATGAAACTCAACCAGGTTTTAGGAATTCACTTACATTCCCAGCCCCATTTGGTAAATAAATGGATGTTCCTCGGAATCCCCCAGGGGGCTGGGAAAGAGAGGAAAAGAGGAGGGGGCGAGGAAGGGGGAGGAAGGGTGAGGAGCGGTGAGGAGGGGAGAGAGGGAGGGAACAGAGAGGAATGAAGGGGAGGGGAGCAGCACTACTCTAGAAGCAGAGATGGGTGTGTTTTGAGGTGCTGATGGTGTAGGGACAGACAGGAAGGGCTTCCTACCCTGTGCTAATTCCTGTGGTCATTAAAGTTTGCCAACTCTATTTAATTCCTTGTCAAACTCCCTCAAGGAAAGCAGAAATAACCGGACTCGCCAATCCCTGCTCCTTCTTGAGAGACTGTGCTCCCTCACCCAAGAACCAGAGCCAGGTCGGAGCACCATCAATTCCAAGCTTCACTTAACATTTATTAGGCGCCAGCAGAACCCCACTCCAAAGCATGCTGTGAGACACAAAACTCTTGCCCTTGACCCTGGACAACTGAAACGCAAAGCAAGCATGGTCACTGTTATCCAGTACAGGGGACACTTTGAAAATATATTTTTGTATTCCCTCACGGGGCAGCCACACATTCGCGTGCCTGTAAAGGCCAAAGGCTCAGTGAATTCCACAGCTGTGAGCAAAAGGAAGCTGGCAAAAAGCATCCTGATTCCTTCTTCCAATTGGTTCTAAAGGGAAAAACCCTGACACTGGAATTGTCGCTGAGGGGAGGGTCAGGTATGCCAACACCTCGGCGGCAAAAACAGACACAAAGTCACCCCTAAAAAGGTGCTTCTAGTTATAAACAGCAAGTATTCCCATGCCTACAGACTGCTATGATACCCTATCAAAGCAAAGGTACACATAAATGTTTTTTGTGTTTTTTTTTAATGAAAATAGCAGGAGTTTTAAAAGAGCGGCTGGGGGCACAAACAAAAATTTGCATAGAATTTAGGCTGTTAAACTGACACACCCTAGAAAAGTCTTTGGCCTCCAGGCGCTTTCCCCACGAATCAGCCATCAGGAATGAATTGCCCCGTGTATTCGCCAAACACCTGCTGCCGCCCAAAGACACCCCTGGGGACAAAAACATGCACATTCCTACGCCCTGCAGGCAGCCCTGTCCACAGGTGTGCTAATGAACCTCTCTGCTGGGACAGTCCCATGTCAGTCACTTAACTGCGACCAGGGGCAAACTGCTTAATGTCCATTTTCTCATCCGTAAAATGGGAACAGTTAAGAATACAGTCCTGCAGAATCTTTCCCAGACTTCCATTTCGTCCATATCTAACGCCCAGCACGTCTATTTGTATTAGCTGGGAGGCCTGGCATCATCCAACTAATCCCACAAACCGCATTTCCACCGCAGCCTGCGCCGTCAGCTTCCCGAACCGTGCTTGCACATCAGCCCGAAGTGAAACAAAATAGCACTCTACAGGGCGCCTCGACCTGCAAAGCCACGCCGCTACCGGGCGACTCTCCCCGCCCGGCCGCTTGCGTGGAGGGCTGCAAGGACGCACTGAGCCCTCGAGGGCTGGAGGCCGGCGTTCCACCACGCCGCTTCCAGCTCTGGAAGGTGACGGCGACCTGCGCGCCCAAGGCGCGGCGACGACGCGCGGGCCCCACGCTCGGGCGCACCGCGGGGTCCGGGTCTCCCCCAGCGCCGTGGCAAGTGGGCGGCGGGTCGGGGCCGTTTACCTGCCAACGATCACCACCACGTCTGCCGCTGGGGACGCCATGGCCCGACGCCCGGGTGGCCCGGGAACGGCACCGCAAGTGCGAAGAGCAGTGGGCTACGGGGCTCCCGGACGCCGCGCGCGGCGCCAGATCCCCGCGCCGGGCGGGGCGTGACCCGCGCCCATTGGCTGGGCGCTCCAGTCGGGGGCGGGCGTGCGGGTCCCGATAGGCTGCGGGAGGGCCGGGAGGCGGGCCCGCCGCCTCGGCCCCCATTGGGTGCGCGTGGCAGGCGGAACCTCCACCCGGACACCCAGGCCCCGACCCCGTGCTAAGGGGCGCGGGCGGGGCAGGTCCGCAGGAGGACCGGCCGGAGGGCAACTCCGGAGGGAAAGCGCGAAGACCCGACCCTGCGGACTGCAGTAATTCATTTTCTCATACTTTAGTTTCCAAATGCGCACCCCAAAATCAGTGTACGCAGAAGGGGACACTTCCGTGCTGGCGCAAGGCTTGACCGCTGAAGGACCCCAAAGAAAGTGCTAGAATTTCTTGTCTGAAAATATCAGCACCTCTTCAATACATACCAGCTCAGGCGTTTATAATGAGAGTGCTTATTGCTGAGTTTACACTCATGATTCGTTTCTAGAAAGATCCTCGCTGCCTTTCTCCACAGATGGGAATTGAGAGCCAGGAGCCTCGGGAAAGCGGAAAAGGAAAGCTCCAAATGTGTTAATAATCTGTGAACCTGGAAGCCGTGTTTAATTCCACTGCACTGTGCTAAGGGGACTGTCAGGAGTGGGGCCGGGTTGAACTGTATTTCCTCCTTCAAGAGGCAGAGTCTGTGTATGACAGGAAGGAAATGTCACAGTGCCTGACACCCGGCTCTTTTCAGATCCCAGGGACGAGCAGACCAAGAGGATGGATCATCATACGTGGCCAGACAGTTCGCGTCCACACAGCGCAAGCTGACGGGGAATACCAGCCATCCAGTTCAGGATGATTGGAAAGCGGAAAACGTGTGCAACGCGGAGGACAAACGGAGCTCCTCCTTCGTTTTCCCCACTCAGAGCGCGGAAGGAGGAACGTCACAGGGCGAAGTAGGCTTTAAAGAATAATTTCACAAACCGTCAATAAACATTTGAAACAGGTGCGCAACTCAAGAGACGGTAAATGAAAAGTTAACCCAAGGAAGATAACTCGCCTTTTACGGATCAATTGTCTAAAATTACAAAGATTGATAAAATATCCATGTTGGCAGTGACGTGTTTCCGACATACAACTCTTTAATACACAACTGAAGGCAGGCTGATACGGACACAGCCTTTCTGGACAGAAATGCTGCCGGGACAGCAGCCAGCCATGAGCCCTGAGCATTGCTGCACTTCCTTACTGGCCAGAATGGACTGCAAGACGTCTCCATCTCCTGATGCTAAGTGCTTTCTGCAGCTGCGCACACAGGCAGCTAGTAGGCCAAGGCTCCCGCGGAGTGAGTACCCCGTCGCTGCTCATCTCTGGGCTGGAAGGGGACTGGCTTGTGTGCTGCTTACCACAGTGTTGGCCCCGTGCTGAAAAAGTGCTGGTCCCTCGGCCCTTTGCAGATGCTGGGGTCATCTGGCCGGCCCTGTAACCCTGCTGGAAATGGGGCTCCAAGAACTGGTGCTACCATGCTGACACTCTGGCTACTGCTTTTGCTGTGGGTAGTAAGGTCTTGTAGCTCTCATCCGTGAGTCTTGTGTCTCGGGCAGCTTCCACAAAAGTGCGGCAAGCTGACTTGTTAGTTTGCAATACGGCGACAATCTCAGACCCCTCCCAGTTCTAGACGCGCCAAAATTTAAATTTGGCTTAGCAAATTGCAGTCTAGATGTATGTTACACAGAAATACAAGTGAAGGGGTGCCTGGGTGGCTCGGTTGGTTAAGGGTACGACTCTCGGTTTCGACTCAGGTCGTAGTCTCACGGTTCGTGGTTTTGAGCCCCGAGTCAGCCTCTGTGCTGACGGCGTGGAACCTGGAGCCTGCTTTGGATTCTTTGTCTCACTCTCTGCCTCTCTCTCTCAAAAATAAATAAACATGAAAAAAAATCTTTAAAAAAAAATATACCAGTAGACACAAAGACAAAATTATTTATTTCAGCATAGAAATAGAATTTAAAAATATGGAAATATTATAATCTTAAAATAATGTTAAAATAGATATTAAAAACATGATGACTATCAGAGAGACAGTTTTAAAGATTATGGTACAGAGGGCTTCTACTTCTGGCTGAGACGGAGTAACAGAAACCAGACTTAAGCTCCTGCCTTAAATAAACAGAAGGAAACCCACACACACACCACTGCTGCCAAAATCCAGGGAGAATGTTCTAAGACATTAGACAAGAGGGAGTCTTGGTTTGTGATCCCAGAGTCCATAAATGTACACAGTCTGCTGACTTTCAATAAAGGTACAAAGGCAATTCGATGGCAAAGGATAGTCTTTTCGACACATGGAGCTGGAACAAGTGGATAAGGTAGTGATAATAATAGCCCCTCGCCATATACACAACTAACTCCAAATACATCACAACCCTACATGCAAAACCTAAAACTACAAAACATCTAAAAGGAAACATAGGAGAGAACGTGGTGACCTTGAGTTAGAGATTTCTTGGATATGCCACAAAAAGTGTTAACAGGCAAAAGAAAAAGTTGATAAGTTAGACTTCATCAAAATTAAGAGTTTCTGCTTTTTCCAAACAGTATCAAGAGAATGAAAAGACAAGCCACAAACTGGGGGGAAATATTTTCAAATTAGGCATCTGTTACAGGCCTCACGTAAAAAATATATAGAGTTCTCCAACTCAATAATCATTTTTTTTAAGTTTAAAAAGAGACAAAACTCAAACCAATTCAAAAACCATAAGGCAAAAGACTTATGAATAGACATCTCTCCAACGTAGATATACAAATGGCCAAAAAGTACATGAAAAGATTCTTGATATCAATAATCACAAAACCACAATGAGATACCACGTCACACCCAATCAGGATGACTATTGAAAGAGAGAAAGGAAGGAAGGAAGGGAGGAAGGGAGGAAGGGAGGGAGGGAGGGAGGAAGGGAGGAAGGGAGGAAGGGAGGAAGGGAGGGAGGGAGGTGCTTGGGTGGCTCAGTAGGTTAAGTCCAACTTGAGCTCAGGTCTCGATCTCATGGTGCATGAGTTCAAGCTCTGCATCAGGCTCTCTGCTATCAGCACAGAGCCTGCTTCAGATCCTCTGTCCCCCCCCCCCTTTAGGCCCCTTCCCCACTCCTCTCTCTCCCTCTCTCTCTCTCTCTCTCTCTCTCTCTCTCTCTCTCTCTCAAACTTAAAAAAAAATAACAAGTGTTGGTGGGGATGTGGAGAAATTAGAATCCATATGCATTGCTGGTGGGAATGTAAACTGGTGCAACCACTGAAGAAAACAGTATGGCACTTCCTCAAAAATTAAAAAACAATTTCATATGATCCAGAAATCCTACTTCTAGGTATATACACAGAAGAATTGAAAGTAGGTATTAAACAGATATTTGTATGGCTATGGCTCACAGCATCATTATTCACAATAGCCAAAATGTGGAAGCAATCTAAGTGCCCATCAATAGATGAATAGGTGAGCAAAATATAGCATATATGTGCAATGGAATATTATTCAGCCTTAAAAAGGAAGGAAATTCTGAAGCACACTACAACATGGATGAACTCTGAAGATTTTATGCTAAGAGAACTAAGTCACAAAGAAGAAATATTTTATGATTCCACATATATGAGGTAACTAGAGTTGTCAAATTCATAGAGACAAAATAAAATTTTGGTTTCCGGGAGCTTCCTGGAGGGGGGAAGTGAGGAGCTGTTGTTTAATGGTGATGATTTCAGTTTGAGAAGATGATAAAGTTCTGGAGATGGATGGAGGTGATGGTTGTACAACAATGGGAATATAGTTGATGTTACAGAACTGGACACTTTAAAATGGTATGATACATTTTATGTTATGTATATTTTAGCACAACGTATTTTTTTAAGTTTTTAAACTTTTTTGTTGTTTGATGGAATAGTTTCAATTGTGCAAAATGAAGAGTTCTGGAGAGTGGATGCACAACAACATAAATGTACTTAACACTACTGAATATGCACTTTATTTTTTTTAATGTTTATTTTTGAGAGAGCACAAGGTGGGGGAGGGGCAGAAAGAGGGGGACAGAGGATCCAAAGCAGGCTCTCTGCTGACAGCAGCGAGCCTGATGTGAGGCTCAAACTCACAAACCATGAGATTGTGACCTGAGCCAAAGTCACTCAACCAACCGAGCCATCCAGGTGTCCTTGAATGTACACTTTAAAAATGGTTAAAGTGAGGGGTGCCTGGGTGGCTCAGTCGGTTAAGCGTACTACTTTAGCTCAGGTCATGATCTCTTAGTCTGTGAGTTCGAGCCCTGCGTCAGGCTCTGTGCTGACAGCTCGGAGCCTGGAGCCCGTTTCAGATTCTGTGTCTCCCTCTCTCTGACCCTCCCCCATTCATGCTCTGTCTCTCTCTGTCTCAAAAATAAATAAATGTTAAAAAGAAATTTTTTTTTTAAATTTTTTTTAACGGTTAAAGTGAGGGACTCCTGGATGGCTCAGTCGGTTAAGCATCTGACCTCGGCTCAGGTCATGATCTCACAACTCCTGGGTTCGAGACCCAAGCCCGTCTCTGTGCTGACAGCTCAGAGCCTGAAGCTGCTTTAGATTCTGTGTCTTCCTCTCTCTCTGTCCCTTCTTTATTTGCACTTCTCTCTCTCTCTCAAAAATAAACATTTTTAAAAAATAATTAAAGAGGGGCACCTGGGTGGTGCAGTCGGTTAAGTGTCCGACTTCAGCTCAGGTCATGATCTCGCAGTCCGTGAGTTCGAGCCCCGCGTCAGGCTCTGGGTTGATGGCTCGGAGCCTGGAGCCTGTTTCCGATTCTGTGTCTCCCTCTCTCTCTGCCCCTCCCCCGTTCATGCTCTGTCTCTCTCTGTGCCAAAAATAAATAAACGTTGAAAAAAAATTTAAAAAAAAATAGTTAAAGTGATAAGTTTTATGTTGTGTGTACTTTATCACAGCTTTTTTAAATGGCCTAAAGATTTAAAAAGACGTTTCATGAAAGAAGATGTATGGCTGGCAAATAAGCACATGACAAGATGCAAATATCACTAGTCGTTAGGGAAGTGCTCATCAAAACTGTAGTGAGGAACCAACACATACTTAATACAATGGCTAAAATTAAAATAGATAGGGAAACTGACAATTCCAGGTGCTGGTGAAGATACGGAACAACTGAGACTCTCATATTTGCCAGTGGGAATGCAAAACGGTACAACCCATTTAGAAAAAGTTTGACAGTGTCCTATAAACTTAAACATATGCGTAGCGGGGCGCCTGGGTGGCGCAGTCGGTTAAGCGTCCGACTTCAGCCAGGTCACGATCTCGTGGTCTGTGAGTTCGAGCCCCGCGTCGGGCTCTGGGCTGACGGCTCTGAGCCTGGAGCCTGTTTCCGATTCTGTGTCTCCCTCTCTCTCTCTGCCCCTCCCCCGTTCATGCTGTGTCTCTCTCTGTCCCAAAAATAAATAAAAAACGTTGAAAAAAAATTAAAAAAAAAACAAAAACAAACAAACATATGCGTAGCATACGTAAATTCTTACGTAGAATTTCTGCCAGTTGCCACAAAGTGCCAGAATTGCTATTCTGAGATATTTACCCAAATGAAATGAACACTCAGTTCACATGAAAACCTATAGGCAAACATGTGTGTCTGCTTTGTTCAAATCCGCAAACTGTAAATAACTGCAAATAACCCAACCGTAGATAACCTTTCAACTGGCAAATAGAAAAATGATCCGTGATACATCCATACAATGGACAATGAAAGGAACAAACTCAGCAATAAGAAGGAATGACTGTTAATGTCCACAATGTAGATAAATCCAAATAAAGTATGCTAAACAACAGAAGCCAGACTCAAAAGACTGTATGCTGTGTACTTCTATTTATTTGAAATTCTGGGAGTGGCAAAACGATTGGGATAGAGAATAGATCCGTGATTGCCAGGGGGTGGGGGATGGTGAGGGGCCGAATGAAAAGGAGCATGAAGAGGGAATTGAGGGATAGGGGAGATAGAACTGTTCTGAATCCAGAGCATAATTTATTCATTTGACAAAACTCTCAGAATTGTATGTGAATTTTAAAGTAAATAAAAACTAAAAATTAAATTATGAGATACAACTGTTCAGTTCTTAATATACCATTAAATGTCAATATTAGAAGAGAAGAATTCAAATCTGTGATTAAAACTTCCACCCTAAGAAACTAGAAAAAGAAAAGCAAATTAATCTCAAATTTATGAGAAGAAGAATCCCAGGGGCAGCTGGGGGACTCAGTTGGTTAAGCCTCTGACTTCAGCTCAGGTCATGATTCCACGGTTTGTGAGTTCAAGCCCCGTGTTAGGCTCTGTGCTGACAGCTCAAAGCCTGGAGCCTGCTTTGGATTCTGTGTCTCCCTCTCTCTCTGCCCTTCCCTGCTCATTCTCTGTCTCTCTCTGTCTCAAAAATCAATAAACATTAAAAAAAATTTTTTAAGTGTTTAAAATTTTGATGTATTTTTTTTAAAGACAAGCAAACTGGCTGTCAAGATCTAAGAAGTCTAAGAAATAAAAAGTGAACATTTGGTGGGAATGCAAGCTGGTGCAGCCACTCTGGAAAACAGGATGGAGGTTCCTCAAAAAACTAAAAATAGAACTACCCTACGAACAGCAATTGCACTACTAGGCATTTATCCACGGGATACAGGTGTGCTGTTTCGAAGGGA